TGTCACCCCAAAATGGCATTTCAGTGTTGTTTATTTCCCTAAACAGCACAGACAAGACTGAACAGTTGATGACCAGAGAAACTCCATTTCAGAAACCCATGGAGTGGCCCACTAATGTGATAATTTTGATGATATTTCACTGACAGTAAAAATAGCAGTATAGTTCTGATTTGTCTTCTACCCTACACGTCACAGTGAAATCAGTGTGGTGCATGGGAGAAGGATGTACTGGAGAATTTTCTTACCTTAAGTGCCTCTGCTGTCCAGGCTGGAGATAGTAAAGAACCTGATGGGGTACATTCACAGCCCCTGGGTACACAGTGGTTGTAATTTTTCAGGTGGATATTGCTTTCTCTGAAAATTTCAGGTAAAACCAGTACACATTTACATAATCTATCCTACCATCAAAGACCCTCTGAGCATCCAAACAGATTGTGGCTACAGACATCATTGGTAAGAGATGATGTGGCCTTTCCACCGCAGTACAATAGAAACTAAATCTCTAATGAGCTTGTTTTCAATCTGTTCTTGTATCTTTGCTCATGAAATCAAAGAATCAGGAGAAAGGATGTTTATGATTTCAGGTATGAGTGTTCTCTCTTAAAGGAATAGTCTTAGAAACCTCTGAAATCCTGCATTTTCCTGTGCTCTACCTTGTCTCAGATTCGCACACAGGGGTAGATTCAAAGAATTTTAAATCTGGAAGTCTTGCTTTCTGATAGGGAAAAACCATAGACAACTTTAACCTTAAATTGTATTAGGGATGGAGCTACAGAAACATCATAAACCATAATGCATGTATCATTACATGAAGGTATAATTAAATTCTAGGTAATTACTGGGAAAAAAGAAAGCTTGGAATGGTAGCAGTTGTAAGAATGATTTTTGCAAATGATCAAGATGAGCAGTATTAGATTACACAATTCCCTCAGTGAAGGGTATCGTACAATGTGGAGGGCGGGGGAAACACTTTTTGAAAGAAATTTTCCTGCCTTTTGAGTTCAACTATGAAGTGTTTAGCATGCCCTTTCCTGCTGTCAGGTCTGCTTTGTTATATGCATATACCAAAATATTTTTAAATGGGGATAATTAAACTATGATATTGTACTATGATTTCATGCAATGCCTTTTATGCACGACATAGTCCAATTAACAAGATAGGGTGATTTCTGGAATACTTAAAATCTAGAAGTTCTTTGTAGTAATTAAATACTGAGTTGACTTGTCCAATTATAACTTATGATCATCTACAAAGGGAGATTTTAGGCAGGAAGGGTTTATACAAATTACTTCCCACCCTGATACACGGATAATTTCCATCATAAGATCTGCCCTGCCCCTAGCTCTGTGAAGTAGCATAGTGTGTGTGACAGTTCTTACATCCCAGGTTCCTAACAGTTTTTAAGTGTCTAAAGAGGGGAATTATATGAGATTCAGTCAACTGTTGCCTAACCATAGAGGCACATGAACTTTACAACTTTCCAACCTTAATTTTTCATTATTAAAATTCCTAGGGACCTGAGGGTCTGCCTTTGAGCCTGTCTTGGTAGAACTGAACACCAAGGCATTTTTCTGAAACACAGCCCTCTCTGATACATGTAATGAAATATTCCACTGTCTTTGGTTATAATATTAAGCCCTTCAGATAGCAATTTCAAAGCATATGCAAAAGATCTGATCATGTGCAGAAGGCAGACTTAGCTGGTCTTTTAAAGTATTGGAGAAAGAGGCATCTGTCACTTTGTACATGGTATGAGGTCCCTTTTCTACTTGAAGATATGCAAATCCTACATCTCAAACCTTCCTGCTGAGGCACGTTAGGCTACTCCCTTGGTAGAAAGGAAAAGAGCTCTAACTCCTCTTCAGATCCACCAGTTACATGTTTTACTGGTAAAAGACTGGACTTGTCCTTTTTTTTTTTTTTTTTTTTTTTTTCAAATTTCTCAAGGCATTAAAGCCCACATCTGCAGGAGATGCTCAGAGATGTGAATCCTAAATAGAAAGAAGACTTTCCTGGTATCACAGAGGCACCTAAAACATGGAAATATTATACACTGTAAGGCACACAACACCTCAGTGTTTGCTTTTATTAAGCACAGGTAACTCCCTGCCTGCTGTACTGCTGCACTTTAAATTCACCCACCCCTGGAATTTGTTTGCATACCCTTTGTGTGCAGAGAGTGTATGTAACATACTCAATTCTATCACTGTTCTACAGAAGGTGACAGATTTGGCAGTTGAAGTGGCAGAAGTTGGTATTCTTTAGCTATTTCCATTAACACCTCTGGAAGCTGCCATAGGCATAGAAGTAAGCTTTGGCTGAACTGAATTGTATCCTTAAAGCAATTTTTATGCGAAGAAAAATGTCAGATGATTGTAAAAATGTGCATGAATCGCCTTAAGAATTTGAGAATTGATCTTGCTTTCTTTAAGCCTTGTGTAACTCAGCCTATTTCTCATTCATTCTAGTTAAGGAATTATTCCCATGAAACCTGGTAGGTTATGTGCTTGCTACAGGTTTGTTCTCAGAAGCATCTGGGTTTTTTTTAGATACCCTGCCACTCTTTGTTGAAGGCTTCATTTGCCTGTGTTGTGGAAGCCCCTTTGCATTTTCATAGTGTGACTGAGACTCATTGCAAGAACATGACTTTTTATTTATTTACACTGTTGTAAATTAGAACCCTCTTCACCAAAGAAAACTCAAACCCAAAACATTTGCTTTGTACATATATTGCTTTCTGTAGGCAAATCAACAGTGTTTTAACTGGGTCAGAAAAAGAAAGCTGAATCCAAATTTGAACTCTGGTTCAGAGTTCTGAGTGATATGGCTTTTCTGTGATCTTTCAGGCTTTTTTTTTTTTTTTTAAAAGTTATTTCCTTATAATGTATACATGAGGAAGTATGTGTTAAACTCCAGATGGGGAATACTGTCTTGCCTCACCCTCCCCAGCTTTATTCTACTCTCCCCAATCAAGACTGAAAGCCAAATATTAGTTAGAAATTGGCTTTCACTGCTCTAGTTCAGAAACATTCCTTCTAAACGTACATTGAGCAACAGAATACATTTTAAAGACAAGAAGTACTTATTGTGACCTCTTGTTTGTGCCATTTAGGAATGTGCTGGTATTGTCTGAGAACTGTACCATTACCATTATTTAGTAAATTAACAGTTGTATTTGTCAAAAGAGAAAAAAAAAAAGTGGCTATTTTTGCTTGCATGCTGGCTGACTTGTCTCATCTTGTACATCTTAATTTCTCTACCTACCTTGTCACTACAATTGCTGGCTGATATCTTCTGCACCATTTAGCACAGAAATTTTCACTTGCTTTCCCAGTTTGTGCCATGCAGCATGAAAAATAAAATATCTGTGCAATGTTGGTTTTCAGTTAGATCATTAATATACATAAGATAGTACTACCATAACTTTTTTCCCCCTCCCCTTCTTTTCCTAGTGCTGAAATCAGAAAAGAGAAGAAAGCTGACTCAGGGAAAGGTGTTGACCGGGAGACTTGTCTATGACTTGTTCTTCAAGTAATTTTTTTACAAACGAATGACAGGAGTGCCACAACCACTAAATAGAAATGATTTACCTTGTAACTTTTGTCTTTCATCTCAAACTAGCACAGGTAATGTAGTGCAATATTTGTCTCATTTCACCTTGTCTACCTTGTCTAGTATTTGTGTAAATGTCTGCAGTAGCCAATGCAAAAAATCTTTGTGTTCATTGCTGATATTGGCCATTTATCAGTATTCTTATCAGAACTGTAACAAGCAAATTGTCTTTTAAATCCAACTTCCCTGTTAATAGGTTTGTACTGTATTTTACTATTTTTCTGTGTAAGAATACTTAATACTCTTCATTCGGGATGAACTTGAAAACCCTAGTTCTAATTTTTTTTAAAAATCACCTAACTCTAGTAAATAATTTCAGAAGACCCAAACTGACAAGCAAACATTAAGAAGTTTATAAAGTAACAACTGATCTGATCTTAGGAACAAACTAACAGGGACAATCCTTTCCTCCTTAAACTGTCCTTTTGAAGTCATGGATTACTCCTGCAATGAGGATTGCAGGGTCAGATTCTGTATTTGTGAAGTATTCCTTGATTTAATACAGTGTATTTAATATTAAAATTTGTATGTAACTGGAACATAGTCATATATATATATATATATATAAAAATATATATTGAAACATTTTCTCACCTTAGTTGAAAAAAATCCTTTGATGTGAAACATGGGTACAGTATTTCTTAAAATGCAATCTGTGATGACAGTATCCTGTATTGTATGAATGTTGCCATGGCAGGCCAAACAAATGCATTTCCATTAATGAATCCACTATTTTATAATAGGAAAAATTTTGTATAAACTATACAAACTATACCCCACATGCAGTTATATCACCTGCCCAATAATCTTCCTCTTTATTGCCTACAATTCAACCACATAAAGGGCATATTTATACTGTCTTCTAACAACTATAAACCTCTTAATTTCAGAGATTGTGTATAATACTTAAATGGGTATCCTGCTGTTGTTCTGTTACAGCTCTTCATTATTCCATCAAGTACGTATTGATTAAAAGATAAAAACAACATTGCAAAGTAAAATGCGGCTTTAAAGCTATTACAAAGACATTTTTCGTAATGGAATTTGTTACTGCCTGATCCTTTAAGGTGTTCTTTTGTGTAAAAGACTGCAAGATTAGGTATTGAATGAATAGAGATGTGGAGCTAAAGTTTTACTGTGTTATTTGGAATTCACTGATTTTTAAATTTTTTAAGATAAATTTTTAAATTATTAAAATGAAGGCTAAATCTCATTATTATGCTATTACTTTGAATTCTAAAAATAAGAATTGTATTATTGCAATCTTTGTAATAATTCATCCACAGGGCTTTAACATTCACCAGCTTTCCAAAATACTAATCTTTCTATAGACCTCATGTGAGCATTTTTTGCCATCCAGCATATTTAAAGTATTCTAATGTTTTTGTGTATGTGAGTGTGTATGTTTTACTACTTTAGCCATAAATAATTGCATTTTGCTGCAAACTTATTAGGGTCACTGTTCTAAATTTACCTTAACGTTATTAAAGCCCATTAAAAGCCATTTTTATGGAGAAAAAAAAAATCTAGTGGACACAAAGAAGGATTTACATTTAATTCAATGTTTGTATTTGTAAATTTAGGAAAAAACGCTGATGCATTACGGTTAAATGCTTTGTTTTGTGTACTTGATGATAAATTGTAAGATTCCAGTTGTTTTAAGGTTAGTATAGGAGCTCAATACTGGTTTGTTCTGAAAGCAGCCTGATGGTGTTTTAACACGTTGCTGACTTACTTTGTTACAGATAATGTGTACAATCAAAATGTATTAGCTTCACTTGACCAACTCTTAGAATATTAAGAAGTCAGTGTATTCAATGGCATTCTGTATTTCTGTTCAGTATTTCAGAGAGGTTTTATTTTAAAACACTCTGGTTTTGCGTGAATTTAAATGCTATTCCAATGTTAATCTTAACATTCTGAAATCACACACAGTATAAAGCAGATGTAGTGCTATATTTACTTCTAATTTCATATTCCTGGTCAAAATTACTCAATTTCTTGGATGTAATTTATTACAAAAGCTTATGTGTACATGTGAATAGACTATTGTGTTTTTCACAATTAAGATATGTTATGTGATAATAAATATTTATCCTAACTAATTTTCAATTTTATTTTTACACTGCAAGACCCAGAACAGGTTTGCAATATCATATGGTATTTGAAATGTCTACCTGACATTTTGCTTCACAAATTAATGAATGGTAGAGCCTAGTATTGCTCCATTTCCAAGTGGAATATCCCTGAAACATGCAACATTATCAGTGTTGTCTCACTGGGTGTAATTGATGATGACTTGCTCTGACTCTAACAGTAAGTTTGACAGCAGGGATAGCACACAGCTGCCCTGTTGCAGGAAGAAAACGGGAATTTACTAATCACAAGTTCATCCCCCTTGCTCTTGAGAGAAGTGATGCAGACCATGCAGTCTGGGTTGAGTCTTTTTAGTGTTTATAGGTAAGATCATACAACTGAAAATTCCTCAGTTCTTCTGCTCATCTCAGGACAGCAAACTTCTGATACTGAAAAACTTTCAGGCCTTAAAGCCCAGTATTATTTATAGTATTGATTCCATCTTACTTAAATCCCTTTGAGCTTCTTTACCAGTTTTTAAAACAAAGACTATCAGCCTTCCACCCTATGAATGGTAACAATCACACCTCAGGTTTCAGCTACTTCTGTCAGGAATTTACACAAACTGTAAATACTGTACAACAAACTTAAATATCCCTTTCACACAGGAAAAAAAAATGCAAAGCAAAAAGGAAATTGGTAGCTGCCTAACTAACATGAGGCACTCCTCAGGCACAAGTGATTTCTGGCTTTGTATCATAATGGAATGAGCTGGCTTTGTTTTGCTGCCTCAGTTTTAGGTATTTACCCATGCTGATGCAGTTCAAGCAAGTTCTCAGTTCCCTCAGGCAGCTATATTATCTTAGTGCTTGCATTATTTTTGGAGCTGAGGGACTTCTACCAGAGTGAAAAATTTGACACTGAATTGATGTTTATTAGGACACTTATTATAGCAATAAAACTTTTTTGTTGTTGTTTTAGTAGTTCCATCATTCCTTATCAGCAGGATATAAGCTGCTTTCCAGACAAAGAAATTTAAGATAATTAGCATTGTATTTTGTTATGCCTCGTAGATAAGACAATTAAAAGAGGACTATGTAAAAAGAATACAGAAGAGCTTCCCAGTGAGATGCTAGCATCATTAAGGTATGTCAGATGCAAAGAATTGCATCTTTACTTAATGAAAGGCTTACCCAGACCATATAATTTCTAGGTTTTTTTTTTTCAAAGAATCCTTCTCTGATTACACTAATACCTGCAGTTATTGAATGAGAGCCTAGTTAAAGTAGTTTTTCAGATTACAGAAATACTTTTTTTGTCTTTATGACACTGTAAGTGATAATATTAAAATAAATCCCAACTATTTACCATTGCGTACACAAGCCATCTTTAAGTTCCTAACGATAATCTTTTTTTATAACCTGTGTATTGCTGTGATCTACCTTATATTGATTTATGTTTCCTTCCCTTGAGTCAAAAGAGTGAGAGATGTGATACTATAACCTCTTGGAGACAACTGACAGCCTGTACTCCAACAAAACTTTAACAGTGGTGCCAGTCTATATTAGAACCACTCCTGCCTTGAACCCAAGATGGTATTTGTAAAACCCAGCTCCAGTGTGTTTCAAAAAAAACCCCAACACCTTATTTTGCGGGTCGAGTGATTCGTGGTTTCTTTGTGAAAACAAAACCTTATTTTCTACGTCAGCCTCCTTTCTCTTTTATCATTTAAGGACAAGCTGCACAAAGTGTCTTCACATTGTCCCCCATGCTTTAGCCGTCTGCAGGAGTACTTTTTACATTCACACCTAATGCCACTAATAACCCACAATACAGACATAATCACAGGCTGGCATGTAATATCAAGAAGGTAAGTGTTAGCTAATCATGTCACACTCCATTACATGATACCATTACACGAAAACAGAAGCTTCGCTGTACATCTCCCTTAAAATTAATAGGGATTTTTGTAAAAACTCTAAAAGGTTTTTTTTTTCTAAAGCAACATTTTCAATTATATGGACTATACCTCCTTTAATGACTTGATGTCATTATTATTTTAAAGCAGCACAGTTTTTAAGTACAAGTGGGTTGCATCTTTTCTAGCTATGTGAAATTGAGAAAACTAATCTTATCCTCAGATGGAGAAGCCTACCTGGAATGCTGAAGACAACTCAGACCTTTACTGGTAGGCTGTAAGGAAAAGCAGGTTTGCCAAAGAGCACGTTCACAGAAGAGTGATGGTCCAGCTCTTGCTTTAAGTGACTGCTATTTTTCATTGTAATGTTTTATGTTTGAATGTAAGGAAGAGAGCCTATTCATCGGTAAATAAGAAACTTCTACATTAAAAAAACCAATGGTGGTCTTTTAGAGTTCACAGGGAAGATTTTACCAGAGCAGACTCGCCGACCAGCAGCCTTTTTTACTATAAAAATAAGAAATAATCACAGTTCTATATAATAATATCAAACGAAGGAATGCAGTGACATTGGTTTGAGTAGGTATCATTCAAAATGTTTGGTGAAAGCTGGATACATGCTTTCCTTGTAAGACTTCTACAATTGTAATCCAAGAGATTGCAGAGAAGACATTAATTTAAGGAACAGCAGTATAAACAGCCTTTCATTCTGCACAGAAAATATTAACATCACAGTATTCCTGATGATGATCTTAAAATAATAATTAGCAAGCATTACAGAATTCGTTCAAAACTTTTTGTCAGTGTTTTCACAGAAATGATCCCAGGATACATTTCATTTTTGATAGAAACATCTTTGCTTTTATTCTGCAACTGATTTCCACATTGGTTCCTCTGTGGCATTTTTATCATTCATTACCATAATACACAAACTGGATGGCTTCTCATTTAGACTGAAATGCCAAAAACTAATAAAAAACTGAAGGAAGTACTATGCTTCCTAGAAGTCTGCAACATCATTCTGGTGATGTTAAGACCTGATTAACCACAATCAGTAAAAATGCAGTAGTTGCTTGGCAACAGAAATCATAAAGATTAGCATTTCATTATGTACACTGGTATCCCAAGAGCTGACTCTTATCTCATCTTGATTTATACTGGCTCAGACTACACGATCAAGAGAGTTTTCTGAAGAAGTACCATCACTAACAGGCAAAATGCTGGTTCTAGGGCAGCAAGAAACACTGCTTTAGGAAGTGGCTCATGTGGGTATAAATATGCTTATGTGCTTGACCGGAGATGGCATGGTCTTTGTCAGTATACCACTGTGTGAAAGAGAAATACAGAGAGTGTTAGTTGTAGCCACATCTAAATGATATAAGCAAACATGACAGACATAAGAACATGTGCAGCCATTTAAAATTATCCCAGCATGAGGCCTTCAGCATGGAGGCAAAGATGTGAAGGGGTAGGAAGCTGCTATGACACTTTTGCCTTGGCTTTGTGTGTGGGATATACTATGTATTTATGCTGAAGGCATAAAAGAACATGTGGCTTGTCCACATGGAGGTAGATGCAACTGTACTGTTAAGAGGGGTGCCTGACCTCTTCCCCTGTCTGCTCTGCGAGTTTGGCGGAAGGACAACCATGCACTGGTGCACTTGGCTTCTTTCTATATTTCATCCTTTTTAGCACTGCTCCCCAAGGATTGGGATAATGTAGGTAAGGAAGAGCTTGCACCTTAGTCTGAGATCTTCCATGTACAGTGTACAAAGGGGAAAATACCTGCTTGTCTTACAAGATCAACACCAAAAATGATAGACAGGTTATTATGGACTTAGCTGAAGCTAACATTTCCTTCTGTCTGTAAGGTACTATTTACTGCAACTTGGGTATATGCAAAGATTGGGATTGGCTGTTTGAGAACACAAAAAAGTTTAACAAAATGAAAGATTAGGTAAACAGGATCAAATATGAGAAAGAGTTGCTTTAGAGCTTTTCTTATGCAGAAAATACATAGGTACTCTATGTACAGATTTCAGTTACTGAAAATGAAATGCAGGTATGTGAACTTTCATTTAAGATGGCAATGAATTTACACCTAACCACAGGGAGCTCATGCTATTATTCTCATAATACAAACTCATTTGTATAATGATAAAAAAAGGATCATACCATTGCCTGAAAATCCACTTCGGCATCAACAAGAGCTTTGGAAATCTGTGCTGCTTGCTGAAAGTGAACATTATCTGAAAAGTGGAAGAGGAAAAAGGTAAACAAAAAATTGCTTCTGTAATACTCTGGGGGAAAAGCAAAGCAATGAACACACTAGACTCCTCATCACTGCTGACTGAAACACAGATTAGTTGCAAAAAGCAGTATTATTTTATTGACATAAATGTAACAGCCTTGCCCCTTCATGCTTTTGTTTTGTCAGTAGTAGAATTGCGAACCTGTCTGTAATACTAAAATGTCTAATTAACTGCAACTCACCATCTGCTGTTCCATGAATAAGGAGATATTCAACATCCTTGAATTTTTCAGCTCTGGCCATTACGGTTGAATTCTGAAATTAAAGGGAAAAAAAAGAGAAAAAAAGGTGCTATTTATTAGAAGATGACTTGCTATCAACTGACTCTGATTCCTGCTGATACAGTCTGGGGTCCCTCAGATAAAACCAACCACCTCTGCTTTCTCCTCTCCGAACCACCAAGTAGCATGGTCACACAACCAACAGCACCGTGCTCGCACTCAAATCGTTCTGCACCCATCTGCAATTATTACCAAGGGTTATGCCTGCAAAGTAACAAGCAGTTCCAGAGGGGAAGAGTTTTGAGAGCGAGGTACACATTTAATGCGTTGCTAACATGTTGTTAGCCTGCAGCACACCGCTTGCCATAGGTTTCCTGTGTGACTGCAGACAAGTTAAAAAAAATGTTGCCATGGCAACAGTGCACCCTATGATAGCAGGGAGTAGATCTTGCAGAGGCTACACACGTTATCTTCCCCACTGAAAAGTATACTAGTTTACCTGCAGGGAAGTCAACAGAACAAACAGTTCCTCAGTCTCAAGTAAAACTGGGTTGTTTAAAGAAGTTTAAAATAATGCTCTCTCCAAATAGGATAGAGAAATGCCTGAAGGAAAAACACACTAGACCAAATCTCTAAATAGCAGTCAAGCTACATTTTGGGAATGGAAGCATGATACAGTGATGAAAAGATAAAATAATCAGCAACTAAGATTAATCCAGAAATTTAAAACACAGTAGCATTTTCCCTAGAATATACTAGCCCCAACTTGCTACGGTGACGAAAGAATGAAGACAGTAAAGATTGCAGATAAGATCTTTAATTTGGGCAAGGAAAGGAAATACCATAGTGCTCTGCCACAAGAGGGGAAAGAAGAAAAGGGACAAGAGGGACCAGAATTTTCAGGCTTCATAAAACCACCAGGTACTCCAGCAAGAAAAAATATAGTAAAAATTAGCAGCAGAAGAATATAGTGGCTTGGTTTTTCTTCCCCACCTTGTACTAAGGCTGTATCCTTGCATAGGGATTTGCATTTAGTATCCACAAAAAGTCAAATACATTATATTGCCAAGACACAGAAGTGTTCTAATTTCCTTATGTCTCTTGTACACTCATGAATCTTTAAAGCAAGTATAAATTCTTTTTGTCATGGCAGAATAGTGTACCACAACTTTTTCACACATGAAATGAATTCTTTGTATTTATTCAACTAAATCTAAAAAACAAGTTCAGCAGAGAGAAAAAAAAACACTCTCCAGTCTGTAACACTGCGGTTGCCCTCTTTGGATAGCCAAATCCAGAGAGAGGACTTTGATGCACTGATAAAGCAGCTGACCAAAAAATCAATTCATAAAGAAATGGTCCAGTGATATTAAAGAAAAAAAGGAAAGAAAGAAACAAACAAGCAGTATCCTTTGAGTGCATTATTTTCCATATGTGCAGAGGGAAACTTGATAGATCACCTTGCTAAGCTTTCTTCCGTGAGTCAGTGCTGTTTTAAAAGCAAACCTTCCGTGAGTGGAAGCCTGACTTAAGCTACACTTTTGAGAACGTGACTTTGCAAAAACAGTTTTGGAAAAAGGATGCCACTATTTTTCCCCTCCAAGTATTAAACAAAATAAAGTTATTTGTAAAAATACTTCAGAAAGAAGAAACACAAAAGATACCTTCTCTATATTTTTATCACTTGTAAGTGATGCTTCACTTGCTGTACACATACTCAACATTCCCTAAAACATGCTTTAAGGACGCAGTACATCTGTGTCCTTAAAGAAGGTTGCAAGATTGGGAGTAATCTCAAGTTAGGCTCAGTTAGAGGATAAAGCAACAGCGACATCAGCTGAAGAAACCTCAAGTGCACAGCAAATAAATACAACTTTATTTACTCTTCCATTTCATAGCTATACTGCTGGGACAAAGGCTTCAAAAAGGTAACGTGCACAAGTACTGAGAGTTGGGCCCTGCTGAGTGTAACTGGCTTTTCTAAAGATCACACAGCAGTCAACATTTTATCAGCACTCCATAAACAAGTTAAGGTTTGGCTGAAACTGAAGGTCTCTCTCCCTTTAGCATATTCTCAGATAATAGAACAAATGTCAAATCAGTACAAGATGGCATATTTACAAAATTGTACCCTGTTTTGCATAACCTAATGATGCAGCAGTTCTTAAGGACTGAACATTTCAAATCTGCTAGAAAAAGATTGCCAAATCTATGACTGTTTCAAACACTTGCCAAAAGCATATCAAATTCAGAGTGAACTGCAAAATAATGTTCTCACAAGTTGAACAGTCTCTTCGGTATGCTTTACATGGCTACTGCATCTGACCTCTAGAGCTCTGCCCTGATTTGGTCTCAAGTCTTAGGCACCAGGCACTTTTCTTCTAGGTAAATAGCTTCTCTGCCATTCTGCCTAGGATTTCTACACAATTGTATTGGGAGCTCCACCCATGCTTGCTCCTCTCTTACAAAGCTCCATTTTTTAATAGTTTACAACTACCTTAGAAGACACTGAGCACACCAAATTAGCTGACTTAGGAGTGTGAGTCATCCCTCAGACTTGACTCTTGACAAAGAATATTTAACATCTCAGATTCTCTTCTTTCAATAAATGTAAAACCTTATGTCACAGTAATACAAAGGTAGGATGTGCCCCTCTTAGCACAACTAGTTTCTCGAGCCTATATACTCACAGTCATTAATATATATTCAGTCATTAATAAAACTGCACATTAGGAAGGTGCCTAGCAGTGTGCATCTTCTCTAAGCAGGTGTGTAAAAAGTCTCGTTTCTTTTAAATTAGGGCACATAGTACAGAGTTTATGAAACATTTCACTTTTCATGCCAGCTACAGCGGATGCAGTAGGATGATGAGAGAATATACAATGCAGCAGGCAAACCTGACAGTACAAAGTTAACAGTTAAAAATGCTTTAACAGCTTCAGCTAGGAGAGCTTTCAATACATATTTAGCATTTACTTTAAAAACATTCAGTTCAGCTAACAGCTCTCATCAGCCACAAGGGGCCAGGAGGCTGGCTACTGTGACTGGGACATTGAACAAAGGGGCTGTAAGCCAGAAACATGCTGGGTTGAAGTCAGTAAGGGTCTTCAGCAACAACAAAATCCCACAGTTCTTTCACTGATACTACATGAAAAGCAACAAACTCATGTCTTGAGCTACCCAGCCCCTCCAGGTTAAAAGTAAAGTAAAAGTAATATATTACTTGAAGCTTTTAACAACAAATGAGGATATAAGTTGCATTTTCCTATCTCCAGGAGCAGCAGTGGAGTGTGACAATCTGATCTATGCAATTACTCCTCCTCCATCTAGCCACCATTCTCCCCAATTAGTCCTCTGAGTAACACATTTGAAACCTTTAGCTCTTTGGTACTGGCAGTTTCAACGTGGCCATTGCCAGCAATAGATACTATGCCAAGAAAATTCGACTCCTGGCTTGAAAGGATTAAACAGTCCTCTGTTGCCATCTGTGCCGTGAAGCTGGTGAATGACTTTGTGCACCCAGAGTGTTAACGTTCGTTCTGCACAGCGACAGTAACTTGTATTTACAATGCTACCTCGCAGACCTCCTACTGTTCCCATTGCCTTAAAGAAACACATTTGGAAAAAAGGCAGACAGGCGGCTGCAGGCTGCTGGACAGTCCCTGGTGGGCTCCAGGGGCTCACTGGTTAGAAGAGGCAGACACAGTACCAAGTTGTCCAGCAGTCACTATCATTGTCCTCAATCTTGACCAGAATGCCTCATATAGAAGTTGACAAAACTAAATTCCGGTAGTAATATGTCAAACCAGATGCTTCAGTTCATATAGGTATATATTTATATGTTTTAGGTATATATTTATATGTTTTATCATACTTTTAAATCAATGCAACAACCCCTCCCTTCGTCCTACCCATCACACTTCTTATTTTAATGCACATAACCAGTGCTAAACTGTCTTCTAGCCTACTTACCAACCCAAACACAGAAAATGCCCCATTCTTTTTTCTCTAACATCAATGTTTGATTCCAGCATCACCATGGCTGAACACCTCTGTGAAACATTCCAATAACCAGGGCACAAAGTACTTCGCAGATCCCTCACAGTTCTCCAATAGCCCCTGTATTTTCACCTAGACCTGATGTTTAACCCAAGAGAAGGCTTTGCTGCTTTGCCCTGTGCCCAGCTACCTGTGACTTCAGTCGTTAACAAAAAGCAACTGGCACATGAACAGCAAGTCAAACAATTCATCATGCCGTAACAAGGATAAGCAATGATATTTTGCTTCCATTGGGACACATGGAAATTCCCTCCCTTCTGTGCAAACACTGATAATTCTAGAACAAACTTTGGACACCCTGTGTTCATGGAGATTGGGCCAAAATTCCAGCCCTGACACTGCTGGCTCTCAGTGGGTCTGCAATTTGATATGATCACAGTACGGACAGACTTGCCTACCTGCCAGAGTTTTCTGGTATTTAGGAGATTTTGCTTTCCCTGAAAAAAGCTTAAGCAGGAAAGTTCACACAATCCCCCTTTTTTTAAAAAAAATTACATTCCAGAAGGAATGGGAGTACATTTGTTTTGGTGGAAAATGTCTAAGATAAAGCAGAGTTTGCCCACGAACATACTAAATTTTGAAACAAATTTGTTTCTTGGTGATTAAAATAAAACAGTGTTTACAGCCTGTTTTACAGTCTGCAAAGTACCCAAAT